GGCACATTCATAACAATCATTATGGTAGTCTCGGGGAAAAGCAGCCTTACAGAGCAGTGTAGCCCCTATAATTTATATAAACTTCCCCGTTTTCAACCTGTAAACAATTTACGCATAAACATTTTCGTGGAGGTGCGGTACGCTAATCATGTGGAATCATTTATGTAAGTCTACCTCGACCAACCAAACCAATATGGCGGCTTCAATTAAGCCTAAGGATTCGAGAATCCGCAGGTTCTACATTCAGAATCCGTTGCTTTATCACAGATAAGATGCAACATGACCACCACAGAAGTATGATAGTTAAACAATTACACGAAGGACTGAAATATCCTGAATATATATAGAAAAAGTAAAGGAATCCCTGTAACAGGTCGTCGAGGTCCACAGAGTTGTGAGATGTTGAGGTTCCCACATTTTCTAGACAATCGGCTCGTAGATGGCGATAAGGTTGTCAGCCCTTTACTCCCAGGAATATTCCTGGTACTCATTTCTGTTGGCGGCTGAGTCGACCCCAGGGCCATAGTGCGGCTGGAAGGATTAGGGCAATTGGAAAAAACCCAATGACCTCATTGAGACTTGAACCCGCGACCCTCCGGCTTGTAGCATAGTGCCTCAACCAATTACGCTACCGCGTGCTATTTCATTATTTTATCGAGGTCAAACAACAATACTGTACGTTTATATTATTAATAAATATAATGTCCACTCTCCTTACGTCTTCATGCTGTAGTGCTTAATTAGTGAAACACAGGACCAGCTTTACCTTTACCAATAACTGCTGTGGTTAAACCTTGAATATAAGATTGCCGGGAACATTCAAGTGAAAAGAGAATGGACGATAAAACACGCAGAAGTGAAGACGAAAGTTGCTTACTGCCCAATTTCATGCTGATAACTGGTCGACTTCGTGCAATAATACATGTATCATCCAGAGCCTTAAGGACTCGATAACGTCTGCAAAGTATCTCTACACATTGGCAGGCCAATGTAAGCCAAGGCGTCCAACTTAGCAGAGTGTGCTGGACGGCAGGCACTCACAATTCTATCACGGGCTACATCTTATCTTCCCCATTACTCCCAGAGACTATTTAATGGCTGTCGTGGACTTCTTTCTCGTCAGAAATACGGCTGAAGCGACTACCTAACCTCTCACCGCCATCCAGTCCTCAGTTGTGCCTTACTGCTATTGTATTTAAGCACATAAACATATACGCAAGGTATATTAACAAGGAATCCATCTTCCTTATGTTCAGAAGGTTCAGTTTCAATCTTACAGATCCGTTCATGACAGAGAGACTTCGCAGAGAACGAAGAGACAAAAGTTCATATCGAAATGCGTAAGAAGTCTGACGATATCAGATAACGAATATAAATTAGTCATAAAATACTAGTAAAGAGTCTTATTTCGAAATCAGCTAAAACAAACTACGCATATAGCTCTGCACAATCGTCACATAAACCTAGCCCCCCCCTTCTCTCTCTCTCTCTGGCTCTACAGCCTTTTTGGACCTTGGCCGCCTTTTCAGTTTCTTAATCCAGTCGGTAGGACTCCTTGGAAGGAGGATCAGCCCGTCGCACCTATACACAGAAGAACACGAACACAAAATAAACGCACACAGACATCCATGCACAGAGTGGGATTCGAACCCACGATCCCAGTGTTGGAGAGGGAGAAGACGGTTATTCCTTAGACCGCATGGCCACTGTGATACGCGTCACATAAACTTATCGCACGAAAATGATCAAGTCCACGGCACCATTTGGTATATTTCGATCGTCACTAGGTGCATTTCGTTATGTTACGTTAAGCAACCATCAGAACCGTGAACTGAACAACAGATGATCACCAGAACTGACTTAATGAGGAACCTGACTGATATACAAACCGATACTCTGCAGTTCGAAAGCAAAACAGGAATGTTAATACGAAGCTTGAGCGTGTGCTGACATCTGCAATTAGCCTGTGTTTTAGTAACAGGTACAGCTGTCCCTGCGCTTAACTAATTAAGCACTACACTATGAAGGCGCATGGGGGAGTGGGTGTATAGATGCACATTTTCTTGATCTCGGCACTGGCTGGAGGTGAGTGAACAGCTTCACGCCCCGGTCGCTTTACCCCCGGGGAAAGAGTCCCCAGTACTCATTGGATAGGAAGTTGGGTTGACCCTAGAACTTGTCTGGGACGGTGTGAAGAAGAGAAAACTCTTGAAACTACCGGGACTCGAACTATAACCTCTTGGTCGGCCAGCCCGTAGCTAGCCGCTATACCGACTACAGTAACAGAAAGTCTTAAAGCAAATGAGGTAGAAATCTATCAACTCTACTTCCCCAAAACAGTAACAAGTCAAAAGCGCCATCGAGGATAAAATGGGAACATGTGAAACCCCAAGAAGCCTTGATACCAGTTAGAGTTCAGTGCATCTGGAACTGGATAGGAGGTTTCGATTGCAATCCATGAAGGTCCATTTAAGAAATTAAACTTCGCCTACAAATAACTTTCACAGCCCAGTTACGTAATACCACTGTGAGAACAGAGATGCAATCGCTCCTCCATCTTCTTCAAACACGTCTCCACGTGTAGATTTACGTAACAAGTAACTTTCAGAACATGTAACCGTAAAACACAACTAGCCTCCTCTCTTTTAATTGTTTAACCTACAATGGCTACTAATTATACATACGGATTGCTATCAACAAAAAAATTATCCGCTTGCCTTTGTTAGAAAAAGGGAAACTTGGTTTTACGTTCCTGGATTCGCCAATTCTTACAATGGTGCATCTCAATGCGAGAACAAAGGAGTTCCAGGTGTTGCGGCTCAGCACTGTACTGAACACTAAATTATGATTATCACGAGATTAAATACTGACGTCATTAAACTGAATCTGTAGAACCACGGGTTGTGATTTCTCAATGAATTAATTCATTTCATAGAACTATATTTTATTTGATGTTTGTCTTATGGCCGTTCTCGGTTATTAATTATATTGTTATTATTATTATTACTAGATAGAGAGAAAAAGAATAATCACGGATAATGAACTTGTGTACTCCGAAGTTAATCCTCTGTGCATATGATTTTAAGTAATTCCATATCTTCTGCCCCGATAAGTTATAATTGTCTAACTAATTTCAATACCAATTTACGTATAGAACAAGCTGTGGATAGGGGGAGACAGTGGTAACGACGAATACAAACCAGAAAAGACACCATAAACAACAAGATTTCTCTTACCGTGTCCCAAAGGAATAAAAATAGCTTATTTCCAGTTCGAAATAGAATCAACATTTCTCTGTTGCATGTTCTAAGGTGAAGCTCAAAATGGCTGCTGTTACAAGAGCGAAATCTGCATACGTATGTTACTATCTTATCACCGTGAACTCGATTTTTCACTAGAACAGTAATTTTTAATGTTGTAGGTCAATGGAAACTCCACTGCTATATTCTCTGGATTAATAAAGTACAGAAAGAGATTATTCGGCTATCAAAGAGAGCAGCTGATAATACCATACATCCTGTAATTTAGTTCAAATTGTAAATTAAGTGAATACAGACATGGAACACACTCAGATCACTAGGAGGAGGGGGGGGGTTGTAGCGCAGTGGCATTTGGACTAAACGAGAGAGCATTTTTTAACCACAATATATTCAAAACAAAATTGGAAAACCTTTAAGACTGAGCATCCTAGATTAATGTACAAATTTCTTTCAACTATCAGCCATCTGGTACGTCATTCTTCAGAGTAGCTGTTCTCAGACTGTGAAGCGCGCCTCACTGGCCAGCAAAGGGATATGCCTATTTCAATTGTTAGCGACGAGAAATTCAAGACAGAACCGAGTTATGGTGTATGTGTACCCGACTGCTAATAGCCTTAATTCTAATTGTAATAAACACGTCAGGATCATTGTTAAACTATTAAAAATTAACGTGTCGTTCCGGATTTCGGGACAAGGCCGCGTCGAATGTTGAGGGTTTCCAATCGTTTCGGCAAACACTGCAGTTGCCATCTTCAGGATTAACCCTCAAGCTGAAGCACTGATTAAGCTTCAGCCGCCAAGAACGTAAGGCTATAATAATAATTACCATCACCAAGACAATTTGTATGGCTCTCTAGATGCGAGATCGGCTCATCGCAGACATATACATACAAAGGACAACATAAGACACAGAAAAGCGAGTATACAGCGGTCCAAGACAGCAAGTGCGTTAGATATTGCGGCCGAGAGTGAACTTATTACGATTTACAGTTCTTGAGTGATGGTCGAACATGGAACGTTTTGAAAAGCGTTCCCTTAGATTAATTTCTAGTGTCCATGCCTACATGTATCAACCGTATATGCTACTGGTCATGGTAACAGTAAGGCATATTAACTGGTTTTTCGATGCTTTCATCTGGTAGCCCGTATTTTATTTCGCTGGTTCTACAGATCCTTGGACCATGGCCTCTCATTTTCAGTTTCATGATCATTTTACAGACTGTAGTACTCCTTGGACGAGTGATCAGTTCGTCGCAAGGCCCCTACCTAAACACAGGACAACACAAACACAGAATAAACACCAAACATCCATGCCTTGTGTGGGATTCGAACCCACGATCCCGGCTTCAGAGCGAGTGAAGACAATACATGCCTTAGACTGCTCGGCTACCGTGACCGGCCGTGGCCCCCATTACATTTCATAATTCCAGAGTAACAGCAGTGTAGGGAACGTCTGAGAAAACGATGTCTTATACACTTAATTATCAATTAAGCATACTGTACCAGACTTCCTCGGTTGGCTTGCTGGACTTACACTTAAACCCTGAAGATGAAGGCAGTATGTTTCACCGAAATAACTGCAAACTTCTATCATACCACGAGTATACAGTGTCACATACCAGAAGAGAGTGCTCGTCAGTATTTTCAAATTTCCTGATTACTGTAAGCAAATATTACCGTGACAGCACTACCAAACAAACATATTGCTACTGTAGATACTATGTAGACACGGGTACTTACCATCATGCAGATAACTAGACGCGTTGCTGGCAGGTGTAGGGGTGACAGCGGAGGGTGGATGACCACCGCCACTACTTGTACCACTGCTGGCCACCTTCTGGTCTCCGCCTGCCAGGGAGTGATAGTCCCCGAGGTACTCGCTAAGGTCAGGCACACACACTGATTCGTATATGTTAGGCGGAACGTTCTCCAGTGCCGACCTTTCCTTCTCCACTTCTGCAACAGGGATCACAGCACGTAACTTACTCGTTACGTCCCATTCTGCTTGGTCCCGAGACCATAAACACAGGCTCGGATCCCATCCCAAGATCCGGGCGTACTTCTGTTTTTTGGACAATAGAACAACAATTAATCAGTTAGGTTTTCACCTCTTCCACAATAGCATACTTCGCTGAACCAGAGTTTTAGCTTAGTACGTAAAAGGTAAAGTTAAGTTGTGGGAAGTGGATGTATAGATCCACATTATCTCGACCTCAGCAGTTGTAGGTGAGTGGTCAGACTCACGCCCCGGGCCGTTTTACCCCCGGGGAAAGAGCCGCTGGTACCCATTGGACAGGAGGATCGGTGGGCACCAGAGCCGGTATGGACGACGTGGAGAAAATTCTTGGCCATACCGGGACTCGAAATCCAACCCCTCTGTCGTACAGCCAGTAGCCAGTCCACAGTAAGGTGAAGTTTTCAATCAGTTCAGGGTTCTATTAAAGAGAAAAACGTCACCACCTCTGTAGAACAATGACTCTGGGTCTCAGTATATTTATATAAAGCCAAAAGAAAAAATTCAATCCTGTATCTACACCCAACGCAACGCAAGGGCACACTGATATTAAGTGCGATTTTATTTATCTCGCTGTTTCATTTGTGATTCCCCACGTTTTAAACATAACTTGTAATTTTCGCCAGTTATTAGGGTGACAAAGAGACGGAGGAGACATGTAGCACGTACGGGGGAGGTCATAAATGCATAGGTTATATAACAGTAATCAGAAACTCCGTAGCAAAGAGAGTACCTTGGGAGACTTATGAATGACAGGATGATATTAAAATAGACTTTAAATACAATCGTCGTGAATCTGGGGAGTGCAAATCATGAAGACTACAGTAGCGGGATCTTGTGAACACGGTGATGTCTTTGATCTTCACCTCAGCGACTCCACCCTGCCTCTTGGACTATCACCAGAATGGTAGCGCTATACTACCAGAAAATAACTTGTAGTCCGCAACCGAATTATACCGACCGAGCGTCCGCCGCTTGTCGGTGAAGTTAGAGTCAGCTTTCAGCGGATAGAGGGTGTCGCGTAGAAAATAACCTAGGCACAGGGAAACAGGCTTAGTAGTAAATTTCTATTGTGAATTAAGAAGATATAATATAGAGCGTCGTCCGATTTGGAAATATCGCAATTCGAGAGGCCAGGAGCTCGGTTCCTCTCCCGGCTAGCGCAGTCTCTTACTGTGGGCCAACACAAACTTCACTACGCAGTCTATCAATATAAGTACAGATAGGCTCTCTACGATTTGCACCTTGCTCTAACGTCGTTACTTTAACAATAACTTCCGTTAATCCTGCTTCCTGGCGTGCACAGTCTTCGCTCGCTCGGAAGCCGGGATCGTTGGTTCGAATCCCACTCAGGGCATGGATGTTTGTGTGCGTTTTTCCGTGTTTGTGAACAGGTAGAGGCCTTGCGACGAGCTGATCACCCGCCAAAGGAGTCCTACCGTATGTGTAAGATCTAGAAAAACCGAAAAGAAACGTGAAGGAAGAAGTTCATGGAGGTAGGCCTAGGCCTACTGGGGCTGCAGTGCCAAGGGAGAAAAAATCATGCTTCCTACATGACGTAACTTCGTCCTGGTCAGACGCAGCAGGCGAAGGCTGACTTAAATTTATGAGTATATTCTAAAGGGTTCTGACGATGGTGTACAACACTCAGAATCACCGGGTTTTCGGACTTTGTCCATTGTCCGGTATTCTAAGAACTAGAAAACACGTTTCGGGAATTGTATCTGTTTCCGTCCTTTGGTTAGAGGGCAGACACCTACTCTGTTTGGTCCCTTGGGAAGAGCTAACATCAGTCACTGGACAACCCACATCATTAACTACAGATATAAAAATACCTGAGACTACGCTACGTCGAAGGGAGATAACAGGAAAATATACAATAAAAATTGCTACAAAGCACGCGCATTCGTGGAACTAGGCTAGAAAGGGGGGTAGAACTTTATGCTACACACCCAGCCAACAGATTTCTATCTCCCTTTCTAGCCTAGTTCACAAATATGGGTGCTTAATAACAATTTTATTGCATATTTCCTGTTATCTCCCTTCGACATAGCCTGGTCTCTGGCAAATTGAACAGCTGTAGCGAATCTGACAAGGGTTGTTCAGTGACTGGGGTTAGCTCTTCCTAAGGGATCCAACGGAGTAGGTGCCTTCCGCCCCTCACCTGAGGACGGAAACAGATCCAGTTCCCGAAACGCTGTGTTCTCTAATAGAATACCAGACGATGAACAAAGTCCGAAAACCCAGTAATTCTGAGTAAATTTATGACGTCTGCATGAACTCGTCCTGATTGGAACTACACGTAGTTTCCTGCACCTTCCAATGGAAGTTTTGTGCTAAATGGTTGCAATACGGCATGAAATTGCGTACACGTTAAAGCTGGTGTTTGTGTCTTTGACAGACACATTAAAACAACTGATTATTATCGCCTAAGAATTAGTAAATGTGTAACTTCATATACGTATTCACTAAACAGGCATTATTTTCATACGCTTGGAGAAGGATTTTTTTATTGTTAGTGGGGTGGGACTAAGTCCCTTTTACTGCGGCCACTTCTGGCCTATTGTACCAGCCCCAAATGATAGGTGAGGGTGATTGTGGAGCAATTAGTGGAATGAAGATTGACAGGGGAAACCGAAGTACTCGGAGAAAACCTGCCCCATCGCCATTTTGTTCACCACAAATCCCACTTGACCAGACCCGGGATCGAACCCGGGCCACCGCGGTGGGAAGCCAGCGACTAACCGCTTGAGCTATGGCGCGGTCCTTGGAGAAGTAACTCTGTTCTGAAGGCCTACCGCGTCTCCTGGTGACCTTCTCATTAGCATCATAGCGTATGTACGCATTTTTGTGTCGTAATTTTCGTCATGAGGTCCCTCCCATCAGTAAGGTGTAACTACTGGTGTCTCATTCACCGAAGTATAAACACTGCCTGTGACAGGAACTGGACATATTGGAAACACACAATCCATACTTCTTCCATTCATTTGCATCCAGTGTGGGCAGGTGATACCGGCGCCGGAAGTAAGGCCTACATGTTATTGTCAAATTTCCTCTCATTAGAATTTCACTACAATATTGGAACTGTTTGGCATTGACGATTAAAAGCTATTGGCTTGTTTGTTACGAGAGGCATCAGGATATCCTGGCTAGCCAATACACAGGGGATGTCGCCGCATTGATCTCTTCCCGGACACTCCACATCCCCTTCCTGGACGAAAACGTTTTCTGTTACAATAAACTGTACCAGGATATGAGGGGGCCTTAACAAGGGAGGGGCTAAGCTGCGAGACCAGATTTATTCCGGCAGCGCTAGAGTTTGGGCGCACAACAGCGTCTGACGACGTCCAGTGTGTGTTCTAACCAGATTTTGTGTCTGATGAAGCGACAGAGATAGTGACGGAAACAGAGGAGCGAGTGATGACATCTTCACAGATAGAAATGTGAGTACACAATTTGTTGTAAAATTTACACAAGTATGAATATAGAAGGGACAACAAAAAGAAACTAGGAGCGAAGTGTGTCAAAAAGAATTTATCCGGGATGAATAAAAAAATAGATACAATCTATGTAACTTACGTGTGAGCAGTCAGCATCCGTCGATACAAAGGCAGAAACCTTAATCATTCTAGGTCAAATTATTTTAATTTCAAACGGGCGTGGGTATAGGCCTTGCATAAAGTGTGTTGTATCCCACCCCCCTTACTTCAAATATTACCGGAATTTAAAAGCTGTGAAGCAGGTTTCTCATTTAGTGCGAAGGTTGCAAATCGAACACGTGCTCCGCACGAACAGAACTCTGTGAAATTTAAGGTAAAAATAATGCCCCAATAAGCACGAGATGCAGTAAGCATATGAGAGACTAATATGAAATTATAGTCGAGCACCCTGCAGGAAACAAGGCCACTTGGGAGTCCTAGGCGAACACAGGAGGATAATATTAAAACGGATCTTAAACGAAATAGGCTATGAAGGTGTGAACTGGAGCAAACAGCCTCAGAATAGAGTTCGGCAGTGGGGGATCTTATGATGGAACTCTGGGTTCCAGAAAGCCAGGGAAATTCTAGAACCGCTGAGCGGTTGGAGGTTTCTCAAGGAGGAATCTGCGCCAAAATAATTACGATATGGTTAGATATGCAGTCGACCACTTTCGAAGAACATTATCGTGACGTAACTGCGCAGAACAATAACTCTAAATGTCTATGACACAGACCGTCATTGACTATCGCCTACAGTTGCAGTTCTGGAAATGGTAACTAGGATGGCAACACTAAATCTGGACTAGCAATATTATTATTATCCTAGGTTCAAGAAAACTGATATGCCTTACAAGACAGGTACAGGAGAGCGAACGGTTTATTTTAGAATATACAACGATGTTCTTTCATTTGAAAGGTCATATACGTACGTCAACTAGCGGGCAGACGGCAGTGAATGATGAGTAAGAATTAGGAAGCAGGCAGCCGTGACCAATCTCAAGGAATTGTCAATGACATCATCGGAAGTGAGTCATAAATACCAGGGTAGCCGCTAACCCGGTCGAAATTCGAAATGCTTACCTCCAGACTGTAAGCCTGCCTCTGTGCCAATCTGCTACCGAACAAATTTGCTCAACCGACAGCGTTTCTCACTTGTATTCAGTAGAACCAATTTCGAATCTTGGCCGAGATACCTACTTGTTTTGTAGTTGTCCTCAGTCTCTCCGGGCAAATGTCAGGACAGTATCTTAAATTAGGCCACAACCGTTTCACAGCATATTCCGTCAAGTTCACCATTATGCGCTCAATGGACGCTATAGACTGAATTACTGAGAGCGTCGTTAAATAAACTACGAACACACAAACAAACCTACTCAAATGAGAGACCAAATCTCAGTGAGTCACCTAGCAGTAAATGTCTCGGAATGGATGAGTGTTCACGCATTTGTAACTGATAGTGGCGTTTAACATGAGTGTAGGAACAACGCGGCATCATACAGGCACACGTGATCCCAGCCAGCTAGAGCGCTACAAGCCAGGCATATGCTGACACACTGGACTGCATCGAACTTCGCAGTTGGCTGATTACAACTCTTGCTTTGTATTCGGATGGTCTCGGGTTCGAAACTCGGCCTAGAGAGAGGTTAAACTGCAGGAGAAGTTCAGAGGGTTGCCTCGGTAGGAAAATACCTAAAAGCAGACAATGAGAGCTGCCTGCGACATTCTATGCAGTTCATCATTCACAATGATCTGAACACCTGACGCTATGTAACCTATGAATTGGAACGGTGTCATTAAATTACATGCCTATCAATGTTCCCCATGAGGCTGCTGGTCACTTTCGTCGTAACTTATTTAATGATTCAGTAACAATCGAAGGCGTTATTTAACGGTTGATGGAAAGAAAAAGTGGTTGTGTACACGAGTGTCATAATGGTAACACAGAGAGTAGACTGATGGATGTGCCATTGAAAATACGGCAAGAAAATGGCCAAGAAGTCAAATTTTCTTAAATTCTTCTCAGTTCCCTAAGCTCTGTGTATTTCTGGTTCTAAATGCATGTGTTTATCAACCACGTCACATTTCAGCACGATTCCAAATCGCTGCAGTCACGACCGATAACAAAACGCAAATATCACTTTTACATTAAGTAAAATGTTATGATCATTTCCCGGTATGGGGACAGTTAAGTAGTAGCTACTGCCCGCATAACAATGGGTAGCATTTCTCGAATACTGCACATCTGTGCAATCGAAGGCAGCTGTACGACTGTCTCCTGTTCAGGTTTTCTGACCACAAAGATACGAACCATTTTTTTTTTTTAATTGCTTCAGCTGAGTGCCACACTGCATAGCAAGACAGCCCCATTTTACGCCAGACGAGCCCAATGCACGCCACGTCGATCTAATGTATGCCACGGCAGTCAGACATAGGACAGAGCAGCTCAGTGTACGTCGTGATAGCCCAAGGTACTCCAGGGCAGTGAGACGTAGGACAGAGCAGCCCAATGTACGTCGTGATAGCCCAAGGTACGCCGCGGCAGTCAGATATAGGACAGGGCAGTCCAGTGTACGTCGTGGTAACCCAATGTACGCCAGGGCAGTCAGACATAGGACATGGCAGTCAAGTGTACGTCGTGGTAACCCAATGTACGCCAGGGCAGTCAGATATAGGACATGGCAGTCCAGTGTACGTCGTGGTAACCCAATGTACGCCAGGGCAGTCAGATATAGGACATGGCAGTCAAGTGTACGTCGTGGTAACCCAATGTACGCCAGGGCAGTCAGATATAGGACATGGCAGTCCAGTGTACGTCGTGGTAACCCAATGTACGCCAGGGCAGTCAGATATAGGACATGGCAGTCAAGTGTACGTCGTGGTAACCCAATGTACGCCAGGGCAGTCAGATATAGGACATGGCAGTCCAGTGTACGTCGTGGTAACCCAATGTACGCCAGGGCAGTCAGATATAGGACATGGCAGTCAAGTGTACGTCGTGGTAACCCAATGTACGCCAGGGCAGTCAGATATAGGACATGGCAGTCCAGTGTACGTCGTGGTAACCCAATGTACGCCAGGGCAGTCAGATATAGGACATGGCAGTCAAGTGTACGTCGTGGTAACCCAATGTACGCCAGGGCAGTCAGATATAGGACATGGCAGTCCAGTGTACGTCGTGGTAATCAAATGTAAGCCAGGGCAGTCAGACATAGGACAGAGCAGCTCAATGTACGTCGTGATAGCCCAAGGTACGCCGCGGCAGTCAGATATAGGACAGGGCAGTCCAGTGTACGTCGTGGTAACCCAATGTACGCCAGGGCAGTCAGACATAGGACATGGCAGTCAAGTGTACGTCGTGGTAACCCAATGTATGCCAGGGCAGTCAGATATAGGACATGGCAGTCCAGTGTACGTCGTGGTAATCAAATGTAAGCCAGGGCAGTCAGACATAGGACAGAGCAGCTCAGTGTACGTCGTGATAGCCCAAGGTACGCCGCGGCAGTCAGATATAGGACAGGGCAGTCCAGTGTACGTCGTGGTAACCCAACGTATGCCAGGGCAGTCAGATAAAGGACAGGGCAGTCCAGTGTACGTCGTGGTAACCCAGTGTACGCCAGGGCAGTCAGAT